CAAGCCCTGCATTGGGCTCTGGTGGGGCGGAGCTTGCTTGGGGTTCTCTCTCGCTCTCTCCCTCTGCCCCTCTCCCACTTGTGCACACTTTCTCTCTCTCTCTCTCTCTGTCTCAAAATAAATAAATAAACTTAAAAAAAGAGTATATCCTTGAACCATATGGTTCTACTTCATGAGAAGTGGTTGCTGGAAATATTTACCTGGGATTGTTTGAAGGGATGCCGTGCCATCACGGCCGCCATCGCCATTGCATGCATACCCCCCGGTGGGGCAGGTGCTGACTGCTGTTGATGTTTTATGTGTGCACATTACTTGATTCCGTTGGGTGGCCGGGGGTTTATATCCAGATCAAGACATTCCACTGGGAAGCTGCAGCTTGGGATTGTACTGTCTTGGGCCCCAGAGACTGGGACAAAACCATCTTGAGGACCCCTCCGCACTATGGGAGGGGCGTCTACATGGCGCCTGTCCCGAGTCCGTGTGGAAAGAAGGGTAGGGGAGAAGCCAGAACTGCAGGAGGGTGGCTTAGACCAAGGGGCAGGGGGTTCTGTTGCTTCTCAGCCCCATGCAGTGCCAGTGCTGCGGCCTGAAGAAGGCTGGCCCAGAAGCAGGGCAAGCCGAGAGTCTCCCAGTGGCCTTTCCCCAGTGTGGAACATGGTGGGTATGAAGCCGACTCCCAGAAGATCTTGGACTGGGTTTCCTGGGCGTTTAAATCCTAGAGCCCCTTCCATGAATCCCAACTCTTTGCTTCTCCTTCTGCTTCTCTGGCACCCCCTGTTTCCCTCTTGCCCCCACACAGAGACACCCTTCAATGTCTGCGTTGGTCTTCTCCCCTCTCCCCTTCCTCGACTCGTCTCCCCCCATTGTTGCAGCTGTCAGCTGTTCACGGAGGAATGAGTGATTGCAAGCCTCTTTTTCACGTATCCTATCCACCTTTCTCCTCCTTGTCTAGCAGGAGGAATTGATCCATTTATTTGTTCAACAAATGCTTTCTGCATGTACCTATAGGGCACGTAGCTGCACACAGGAGGCACATGGAGGTAGCTGGACAGAGTGAGAGCTCAGTAGTATTTGGTTATTGGAATTTGTTCTTTATCCTTCAGCAACTTCTCACTGCATGTCTGCCATCTGCCCCACCCTGGGTTAAGCCCAAGGTCAATGACATGAGGTTCCAACCCTTGGGGAACTGATGTTCCACCAGAGGAAATGGATACTCGGGGCCTGATTGTATACTAGTCAGAAACACAAGCAGTAACTGGAGAGGCTGAGCAGAGGACAAAGGGGTCTGTATGGTTGTTGCAGTCTGGGAGGACTTCCTGGAGGAGCTGGTGCTTAACTGGATCTTGGAGGTCAGCTGGAAGGAAGGGCATTCCAGGCAGGTGGCTGGAGGTACGATGGAGAGGAACAAGGAGCTAACCTTTAGTCAAGACTCATTCAGCATGAGCAGCGGGGTCCTCTGTTTTCAGGGACTGTCTTGTCGAGGGCACTGCAGGGCGAGCTTGTCTTGGGCCACCCAGCTGACTCGCCACCTAGCTCCTCAGGATCACCTAGTTGGAGAGCAATCTGCTGGCTTTGCCCCAGGGTCCAGCACCATCACCCAGCCCCTCCCTGGGGCCCCCCTGTCTCAAACAGCCTTGTTAAACTTGGGCCACCTGAGGAATAGTGGTGAAAACCACAGTTGTTTAGCCAGGAGGGCAGAAGACTCTGGGAGGTGTGGCCGCTGTCTCTGGGAAGGGCCCTGGGTAGTTGGAGCCAGGACCAATAAGCCCTATGTCTAAGAGACCGACATTGGCCGGACCTCGGGATGAACGGCCCAGCTGTCCTGATGGCAGTGAGCTCCCTGCCACCACAGCCCGTCTGGGATCTGTGGACTGAGTGCCTGAAAGAGCCTTGGCTTGTCATTCTGACCAGCTGGATGGGCCACCAGACCTTGGCAAATTATTCTTTGTTATCTGAATTAGAGACCCAGCCTCTAACGTAAAGCAAAATGATCAACGGTGAAGACTGAGGTTAGACAGCTTGCTTCCCTCTTCTCTGAGAAGCCAGAACATCTGTTTGCCAGAATCCCGTCCATCTCTAGGCCTTTCCAGTTGGCCACAGTTTGCCTGGACACAGACAGGTTCCTCTTCCTTCTCCCCTCTTCTCAGATCCTAAGAGAGGGTCCTGATGGTGACTGAGGCAGGGGGGATACTCCACCGGGCTGAGGCAGTGACACACCCCTGCCTCCTCCCCCTACTCCAGACGGGGCACGGCTGCTCCCTTTTGCAGATGAGACTCTGAGACTCTGAGAGATGTCATCTGTGGTCCGGGGCAGGTGGTGATAGAGCTGGAAATGAGACCTGATCTCCCAACTCTTGGCCCCGTGGTCTTTGTGCACACCGTGCTGTCTCATTTCACCCCGACTCGCTCGGGCTCAGTGGGTACCAGAAACTAGATCCTTACTTCTCGCCATAGAAGACTGGCTGTTCTCTGCTGCCTCCCCACTGGCTAAGCCTAGAACTAGGTCGACACAGAGGGCCTTCTCTCAGAGGCCACGTCTTTCCCTCCTCATCCTCAGAGGCTGGTCCTTCTGCCCCCCAGGATGAGCCAGCAGGACTCCTTGATGATGACAGCTCCCTGATCCCTCTGGCCCTCCCCCTCTCTCCCTGGGAAGAGGCCCTGAGCCCACAGGGTAGGAGGGTAGGAGTAGAGGACTGACCCATGAGCTAGGGGCTCACTAATTAACACACATTCCCTGCCCTCTCTCTCCCTCCCTTTCTCTCTCCCTGCACTAGCCTCCTCCCCCAGTTAAAACTAGGAGTTTGGGCTGGTCCCTACAGCCCTCGGTTTCTGTGACATGTGCAGCCCGGCCCCTCTTGCTGTGCGGGGTGGTCCCAGTCCCAGGCTGGATGCCAGAGGGCACTCTTAGGGTCCGTGGGGTCATGGGATGGAGCCTGGAGATCAGTGCTGGGGCGGGAGGGGCAGGGTCTGCCCCTCCCCCCCGCCCCCAGTCTGGCCTCCAGGAAATTGCATAACAGAGATGTTTATTTTTGGTGAGGCTGGGTGGGATTTCTTCTCTAAAAAAAAAAAAAAAAAAAAAAAAAAAAAAAAACCCAAAACATAAAACTTGTTTGTCTGCCAGGAAGATAAATATCTTTGCTGAAAGCTCTTGGCCCGGCTGCCCGTTGCAGTTTGCATAACATTGTCACCGAAGCCGTGGCAGTCTGCGTGTGCCCAGGCTCACATGGGTGTCATGCGTGATGCCCGTGGGCCGTCCCCCCACGGCGCTGTCAGTGGCCTCAGGAATGGCCTCCCGACACTGCTTCAGGTCCATTGTGGGCACTCACCTCCACCCCCTTCATCGGAGCTGTGGAGAGAGAGGTGGGGACGACAGGCAAATGTCCCTCTCACCTTCCCAGCGGTGAGAGTCCTCAGGGCACACAGAAAGCCAGGGAGGAGAGCCGCCCTGACGCCTCAGCCCCCAGGATATGGATGGAGTCAGGAGACCTGAGCTAGACGCAGTGTCCCGACACGTCACGCCCACGGCTTGGACCTGTTCCCGAAAGAGGTGCCCACACCCACCAGGCGTGCTTGTGCCAGTCAGCTGGTACGTGGGAGGCCCTCTCACGTGCTCCCCCTTATTAATCTGTACTTGCGTCTGGTGCCTCATCTCACCCGCCAGAGTCCCAGGCAGGGGAGTGTGGCTCAGAGGAGGGCTCACACGGGTCTCCAGACACCAGGCCAGCACCTGCACACGCTCCTGCACTCAGACGCGCGGGGCGGGGGGCCTGCCGCGAGGGCTTCTCCGGGCTAAGAGTCCTCTGCCGCCCGGAAGACCATAGCGGAACCGGGAATAACAACCCCGGCAGAAACCTCCAGAAGCTGGGACTGTGCCGAGGGCTCTGCATGTCGGCCTCCTTAACCCCACACTACCCCGTGAGGAGGATCCTACAGATATGTTCATTCCCGTTTCATAGAGGGGGAAACCGAGGCACAAAGACGTTAAGTGAACTGTCGAAAGCACACAGCTGGAGAGAGGTACATGTGGGATACACTCCTTCCACTGGCTCCGGGGCCCCTGCTCTAAACTTGACTCTGAGTATGTCCGCCCAGGGTGCTAACTGGGCCATCTGGACGTGGACAAGGTACTCCCCGCCCCACTGTCCCCTCTGGCCTCCGCCTCCTTATCCTTGACTTACATAGGTCGACTGGTCCTTTTCAGCTCTGGGCGTCTAGGAATCCACCAGCAGAGCCCCATTCCGTCAGATGGCGATGGCTGTGGGCCCAGGCGGAGAGCTTCGTCTAAATCTACTGGGGCGCACACGGCAGCATCCTGGGGATGCAGGTGTCCTCCCAGTGTCCCCAGTACATGCAGCACTTGCCTGGAGCAGGCAGGACCCTGTGAGGACAATAGGTGAAACCTGCAGAGGGCAAGAGTATGACCCCCCCACCCCCACCCCAGGCTGGATTCTTGGTGGGAGGGGAGGGGTCTCCACAGCTCCTGCTGAGCCCAAACAGGACCAGGCCAGGAGAGGAGGGCCATTCCTGTCTGCCTCGACACTGCCCTCCTCTCTGCCCCTGCCCCGTTGGGCCAGACACGGCTGCTGCATGAGATTTCCCTGCCCTGGGAGTCTGAGGCACTGGGTCAGCATCCTTGATGCCCAAAGCAGAGTTGTGGCAAAGAGGATCCTTCTAGAAGGGAGAGCCCAGGGCCAGTGGGGGACGGGGATTAAAGATCTGAGAGATCAGATCGGCTGACCAGAGTCATGTTACATCGGTGCCGAAAGGGATCCATTCTGAGATGATGGCACAGAGGCTCACCCAGAGAGGGACAAGGACTTGCCCGAGGTCACACAGCACTTTGATGGCAAGCCAGGATTAGAACCCAGGCCTCCTGACCTCACCTCCAGTGTGACTCTGAGACGGGGCAGGTGGCAGGGGATGGCTCTTCCCGTCCCTCCCTCTCCTCTTGCTCGGCTCAGCCATTGGTTTCTGACTTTGTTCCCCTCCCCGCCCCCCAGCCAAAGAGAGCTCGCTGGGTGAGCCAGAGTTACCGCCTGACTCTGACACCGTGGGGATGGACAGCAGCTACCTCAGTGTGAAGGAGGCTGGTGTGAAGGGGACCCAGGACCGGGCCAGTGCCGACCTCCCCAGCCCGCTGGATAAGGCCGACTCAGAGAGCAACAAGGGTAAGAAGAGGCGGAACCGAACCACCTTCACCAGCTACCAGCTGGAGGAGCTGGAAAAGGTCTTCCAGAAGACCCACTACCCCGACGTGTACGCACGGGAGCAGCTGGCCATGAGGACAGACCTCACCGAGGCCCGCGTGCAGGTCAGTGAGGGCGCCCGGGAAGAGGGTGGGAGAGCTAGGGCCCGCCCTTGGGCTGGTGGCCCAAGCTGGGGCCGCCTGACTGTCCCTCAACCACACCAGGGTTTTCTTTATCTCAGTCCAAGGAGAACCTGCCCCTCACACCCCTGCTTCGACCGGAGCAAGGCTGCTTTTGTCCACCTGAATACCGGGCCTCTTGCCCTGGCGGGAGCAGGGGCAGAAGGAGAGTCCCCAGTGGAGGCCAGGAAGCCTGTTGGCTGTGTTTCTGGGCCCCGTGTGGTGTGAGCATCCTGGCCTTTTCACAAAGGAGGTGACCCGTGTCTGCTCTCGAAGGCCTGTCTCTTAGGATGGGAACAGGGTAGACCTGAAGACAGCTACGGCATTCCAATGGGCAGACGCAGACAACAGCCTGGCTCTTCCTTCTGCCGGGGATGGCTGCCTCCTCATCCATCTTTCAGCTCCCAACTCAGTAACCTTCTCTGTGAAGTCTTCCTGATGGCCGTGGCTAAAGCGGTAGCCCTCTACCACCATCCAGCCGCCAAAACACCCAACCCAAGCCAACCCAGCCCCACCCAGCAGAACCCAAACAGCCCAGCCAACCCAGCCCAGCCCAGCAGAACCCGACACGACTCAACACTACCCAACAGAACGCAACCTAACACAACATAACCCAAACCAACACTCGATGCAACACAACCCAACTCATCCCAAACCCACACAACACAAGCCGGGTCACCTTCTACCACATCATCCTGTTTTGTGAGAATTTACGAGCGACTTAAACTATCTGTTTGTCTCCTCCCACTACACTGTGGGTTCCTGGGGGCAGGTACTGTCTGGTTGCTCATCACTGCACCCCTACCAGTTAGAGAAGGCTGAACTCACAGCAACAAGGGCAAAAAAGAAATATTTGTGGATCGGTGGACCTCCTTTGTCCAGAGAGGTGTGTCCTCCCTCCTTGCATGAAGTTACAGCAAGAAAAGACCGGAGAGGAAGCAAAAACCTCTGAGTACCCAAAACATGGCTGACAAAATCCCTGCACTGAAGCTCAGGCTTCAGCTTCACACAAATAAATGTCATGCTCGGTCAGCTTTTCCACCCCAGAGCCTGTTAGAAATGGCAAATAAGGTATTGTCAGACAGTTTTTCTCCCTCCAGTGGGCTGGGGAAGTCAACGGCCTGACAGCGAAGAGCAGTCTGGCTTTTTTTTTTTTTTTAAGGCGGGACGGCTCAGCTGGGCTGGGCTCAGCTCAGAAGTGGGTTCAGTGCCAGGACAAAGAGCCTTCCCTCATCAGCAGGCCCCAAGGGCGCCCCCTGCTGCATCAGTTCACCAAAGAACCTTCCCCAGAGTGTTTCCAAGGCATCAGTTAAAGGTTCATCGGTCTCAATCATGTTCTGTTTAATCAGGCAGAGGCATCCTTAACACAGTCCAGAAACGTTTTCATTGGAAATGGATATTATGAAAAAGGACCGGCAGTCACCATAAATATGTAGCCATCCAGAAACTGCATGTACCCAAAGTGACTGAAAAGTCAGGTTTTGAGCCACAAGTTCCCTGGGTCCGGCTGCCCCTTTTAGTCCTGCCCAGTGCCTGGTGAATGGTTGGGGAAGGAAGACGGGGCAGTGGAAGCTTTACTGTGATTCTAGAAACCTTCACACCCCAACTATCTTATTTGAATCAAGAGAAGCCACCATGTGACCTCACATGCCTCAGAGTCTGGACGGGAACCCCAGAATCTGGCCTCAGCTCTGCCAGTGGATTGCAAGGAACTGAAGGAGCCAGTGGAGAAGGGAGAGGCCAGTGGTGGGACATTCCTGTAGGCACCGTGTCAGTGAGGGACAGACCAGTTCGTCTTCCGTGTAGTATGTGTGTGTTCCTGACAAAGGGCTGGGAGTGCCCAGGCGTAGAATCCACTCAGTATCGGAGGAAGGATGGCTCCTATAGTACGAAAGATGGAAATGACACTGGGGCACATAGGACATTTTTCAGGTACCATGATACAGCTAAAACAGAGCGTCCCCTCTGTACATGTGTGTGCGAGTGCACACACATACACACACACACACAATTTATGCCTACTTCTAAAAAGGAGTTGAGGCAGCTTACAATTCATGATTTATCATTTTCATCTTAGAATAAGAACAACGTCCATGAAATAGGAAGATAATTATGTCAAACACCTAGGCTAAGAATCCTAGTTGCCACCGAGCACAAATTTCAACCCTGAGCTTCCCGGCAGCCAAGGCAGAAAGGGAAACCCTGATGTGTTGCATATCTTACCATCTAAGAGGATGATCATAGGAATATAGAATGTTAGTGCCCGGAAGGATCATCTGGTCCTCTCATTTGATAATAAGGAAGAGGAGGACCACCGGTGATCAGATGACTCAGGAACAGTGAGTCAGTGGCAGAATCCAGGACTCCTGAGCTCCGGCCCACTATTTCTTTTAGTTTAGCTTGCCGTGCCAGGACATGGGCCATATTGTTCTGAGACTTTTCTTTGTATAAAGGCAGCAGGGTGGGTGGGATCGTTATGTGCGTCAGACCTCTGGATTGAGCCTGGCAGTGCCCTGAGGTTTGGGGGGAGTGGTGAGGGAGCCCCCTGCCTGCCTCTGCTCAGTTTGTTCTGGGGCCCATCCTCAGCTGGTGGGAAGCCAGGTGCCTGGCGTGGAGTGGCGGTGGGGACAGGGAGGAGGTGGGGGGCTCCGAGATGGACCTTTCCCGGGAAGAAGCTCAGGGTTTGGCCTTGCTCCAGGGGGCTGCAGGGGCCTCTCTCTGCTGTCTGGGA